ATTGTAAGGGACTGCACCAACTGAAGTGCTGGCAGCAGGAGGGGACATGGGCCAGGGCAGATGCAGGGATGCCAGTGAGAGGCTGCTGTGCTTGCCCGGGTATCCAGGTGAGGCAAGAGCATGGACTGGCTAAGCTGTGAACATCAAAAGACATGCTCCACTAACTGTTACCAGAAGTAGAAAGGAGAGGGAAGATGGTACTTTCACACAAAGTTTTACTTTCAAAGAGGGACACTTGGCACAGTGTTTTCCTAAAAAGAGAACAACATAATGCTGCACTGGCATCAGCTTGCCTCTCTTTGAAAATCAACTAAACTATTTATCTCACTATGAGGAAGCCTGGCATTCATCCCACAAATGGTCACTGAAGGCTTCATGAGGAAAACAGAGGCTTCTCCTTGTCATTAGTTGTACAGTTAAATAAACCAACTCAAAGGCAAATGACAAACTGAGATAAACCATTTGCAACATATGTAACATACAAAGCATTAACAGCCTTAAGGAATGCTTACAAACTAATAAAAATATGAACCTTAAGCCAGAAATATTATAAAGAAATTGAAGTATGCAAATATATTTATCAAGATGTTTGTTCCACTTGTGTTTACAATAGTGAAAATATTAGATGCAAACTAAAAATGTCCCACCAATAAATTAAGAGTATATGAACTTTTAATGGAATACTGTGGTCATTAAAAATGGTGATGTGCACCCCAAATAGCCAAATCAATTTTGAAGAACAGTAACAAAGTTGAAATACTCACATTTCCTAATTTCAAAACTTACTACAAAGCAAAACTGGACCACTGTCTTACATCTTACACAAAATAAATCCAAAATGGATTAAAGACCTAAATATCAGAACTGAAACCATAAACCCCTAGAAAAAAAATAGGCAGTAAACTGTTAAACACTGGCATTAGTTCTTCTGGATATGTCTCCCCAGGCAAGGGGAACAGAAGCAAAAATAAACCAGAGGGATTGCATCAAACTAAAAAGCTTCTGCACAGCAAAGGAAACCATCAATAAAATGAAAAGGCAATCTATTGAATGGAAGAATATATTTGCGAATGATATATCTGATAAGAGGTTATTATTCAAAATTTATAAAGAACTTACATAACAGTAACAAAAAAAAACAAATAATCCAATTAAAAAATGGATAGAGGACATGAACATACATTTTCCCTAGGAAAACATACAGATGGCCAACAGACACATGAAAAGATGCTCAACATCACTAATTATTAGGGAAATATCATTTCACATAAATATGAATAGTTAATAAAGGAAAAAAAACAAGCAATAACAAATGTTGGCAAGGATGTGGAGAAGAGGAAAACTTAATGCATTGTTGGTGGGAATGTAAACTGGTAGAGCCACTACGGAAAGTACTATGGCATTTTCTCAAAAAAGTAAAAATAGAAATACCACATGACCCAGAAATTCCACTTCTGGCAATTTACCTGAAGAAAACAAAATCACTAATTCAAAAGATATTCATCCCTACTGTTTACTGCAGCATTATTTACAATAGCAAAGATATGGAAACAACTTCAACACACACACTTCAACACACACACACACACATATACATACAGTGCAATATTACTCAGCCATAAAAAAGAATGAAATGTTGCCATTTGTGACAACATGGATGGATCTAGAGGGTAGTATGCTAAGTGAAAGAAGTCAGACAGAAAAAGACAAATACCGTATGATTTCACTTATATGTGGAAACCAAAATATGAAACAAAAGAACCAACAAAACAAAAATAGACTCATAAACACAGAGAGTAGATTGGTGGTTAACAGTCAGAGTGAGTTGGGAAAATGGGTAAAATAAGCAAAGGGGATAAGGAGGTACAAACTTCAAATTATAAAATAAATTGGTCACAGGGGTGGAAGTACAGCATAGGGAATACAGTCAATAATACTGTAATTTCTTTGTATGTTAACTACACTTAGTCAGATAAGCCTTTACTAATGTACAGAATTGTTGAATCACTGTGTTATACTTCTGAAGCCAATACTGTATATCAACTATGTTTCATTTAAAAAAACTTACCACAAGCTATTGCAATAAAAATAGTATGGTACTGGCATAAAGAGATATACATAGAACAATGGAACAGAATAGAGAATGCAAAAACAAACCCTTACATTTATGGTCAAATGATTTCCAGTAAGGGTGCCAAGACCATTCAGTGGGAGGAATAACAGGCTTTTCAACAAATGGTGCTGGGACAACTGGGTAGCCATATGCAAAAGAATGAATTTGAGTCCTTATCTAAATTACATATAAAAATTAACTCAAAATGGATCAAGGACCTAAATGTAGAAGCTAAATATATAAAACTCTTAGAAGAAAAAGAAGAGAAAGTTTCATGACCTTGGATTCAGCAATGATTTCCTGTATATAACATCAAAAGCACAGGCAGCAAAAGTAGAAATCAATAAATTTGCTACACTAAAATGCTTGCATATCAAAAAACATTATTGAAAGAGTGAAAAGGCAACCAGAACGGGATAAAATATATGCAAATAACATACCTGATAAGGGATCAATATCCAGAATACATAAAGAACTCCTACAACTCAACAACAAAAGGCAAACAACCCAATTTAAAAAGTGGGCAAAGGACGAAGACATTTCTCCAAAGAAGATATACAGATAGCCAATAAGCACGTAAGATGGTCAGCACCTCTACTCATTAGGGAAATACAAATCAGAACCACAATAAGATACCCATCCTATCTATTAGGATGGTTATTATCAAAATAACAGAAAATAAGTATTGGCAAGGTTGATCCTTGTGCATTGTTGAAGAGAATGTGAAATGGAGCAGTTGCTGTGGAAAACAGTATGGCAGGTCCTCAAAAAAAATTTTTTTTAACATAATTACCATATGATCCAGCAATTCTACTTCTGGAATATACCCAAAGAACTGAAAGCAGGGGCTTGAACAGATATCTTTACACAAATGTTCATAATAGCATTATTCACAATAGCCAAAAGATGGAAATAACCCAACTATCCATTAACACATAAACAGATAAACAAAATGTGGTATGTGTGAATATTGTTTATCCTTAAAAATGAATAAAATTCTGACATCTACTACAACATGGGTGAACTTGGAAAAAATCATGCTAAGTGAAATAACCCAGACACAAAAGGATAAATACTACATGATTCCATTCTATAAGGTACCTAGAGTAATAAATTCACTGAGTCAGAAAGTAAAATTGTGGTTACGAGGGCCTGGGGGAGGGAGTAAACGGAAGTTTTTGTTTAATGGGTGAAAACTTTCAGTTTGGGATGATAAAAAGTTCTGGAGATGAAAAGAGGGGATGGCTGCACAACAATGTGGATATATTTAATGCCACTAAATTGTACACTTGCAAATGTTCAAAATGTTAAATTTTATGTTATGTATAATTTACCACAATATTAAAAAATGGTGACTTAAGTGTTTTATGTTGTTAGGTGGAAAAAAACAGGTTATAAAATTCTATGTACAGTAAGATCACTTTCCTGTTTAAAAACAAACTTCTTGCCCATGTAAACTCAAGAAGGGCTTCGATATTCATGTTGTGACTAGAACAACACACACTCCCTACCTGAGAGAGAGGCTGGGAAACTCAGTATTTAGCTTTCCCCACTCAGTAGTAGAGGAAGGCAGGGGAAGGGCTAGTTGGTTGATAATCAGCACCAACCAAGCCACCTCCACACCAGGTATGGATGTCTTTGAACCTCTGTTCCTTTTCCTTTTGAACCAGTTAGAAACTGCGACTAGCCAGGTCTGCCAGGGTACAAAGGATGCAGGCTCCTATGGCTCTTCTTAAGATTTATACTACTACTAAAAGAAATACCAGAAAATGTCATCTAGTAAATACTATTTAAACTGAAAATTCCATTTGTTTGAGGCTTTCAGTTTGAGCAAAATTAATCTGCCTGCCTACTTATCAGCTGTGCCCAGGTGAACACTGCAGAATAAGTATGCCTTCCAAAGGGGGCACTTGACACAATTCTTTACTTAAAGAGGAGCTGCATTAGTATCATAGAGTTTGCAGCAGTCCAGCACTATCCTCTGAGGATGAACACAAGCTTGACTATTTGCCCCACAAAGAGTGCTACGATGCTAACTGAAACTATACATATTAAAAACACAACAGTGACAGAGTGGAAAGAACAGTGGTCTGGGAGTCAGAAGAGCTGGGTCTGGGGTCAGGTTCTGCCACTTGCCACCACGGGACTCCTTCATTCAACATATAGTAAATCTGTGTATCAGGCCTGGGCTAAGGAGGGGGAGGATGCAGGGGAAGATGCCCAAAAGATGAGAACATTTCTGTCCTCAAGAAGATGCTCTTTTATTTGTGCAAGCCCCTTACTCCTGCAGACGCTCACCTTTTTCACCTATAACTCAAAGACATTACCATTCTCAAAGTGTTACTCAAAATGAAACCTCAGTGCCCTTAATATTTTGGGCCAGATAATACTTTGTCACAAGGGGCTATCTTGTGTATTGTAAGATATTTAGAGCAACCTTGGCCACCCCTCACTAGATGCCAGTAGCTCTCTGCCACCCCTCCTGACCCAGTATGACAACCAAAACAGAGGATATTACCAAGTGTCCCCTGGGGCAAAATAATCCCAAATTGAGAACCTATAAAACAGGGTAATATATATGAAAGCATTGTAGAAAAACCCAAATCAAGTCAGTGTTCAAATAAATCCATTTGTAAAACTATTTGTCAAGAAAAAAATCCTTTAAAGTCCTTACAGAGTCCATAGGAATGCTTTATTTTCTATTTTTATACATTTTGCCTACAATTCAAAGCTCTTTGGTTAATTTTTCTTTATCCAAAACAAAGCATCTTCATTAGAACATAGTTTTTAAGTGTATCACTGTATTAACACAACAGTCAGAGTCAAACATAATTGCCATCTCTACAAAGCAGAAATTTTATCCAAAATAAAATTACTCTGTACCTACCTTTTAAGGACAAGGGACTGGATCTTGTGAATTCTGCATTTGACGGTCTGTGCTGTTTACGAACTTCCAAGTACTCTTTAACTCTTGAATCAATAGTTTCTCTTAACAATAAACAGACTTCCTAAATTTAAAAATCAGACATAATTTTCTAATTTAATGCAATGCAAAAAAAGTTAACATCATGCATACTAAGAAGTCAACATCGACCATTTTGTTTTGCTTGCTTTTTTATTTAGCCATCAATACTGAAAGGAATGCTATATGTGCTTGTGGGTAATGCTGCAGATTTAAACGTGCTAGTGAAGTTGTTTGTTTCCAACTATGAGGTTGACTCACTCTGTGATTTGCGATATTCAATTACCTCTCCCTCAGTTTCACTTTTCTAAAAGGAAGATAAAAACACTTATTTTAATGCAAAAATTAGGATGGCAAGGTAAAGCCATCAGTAAGATAAATATTGTTTTCTTACAAATCAATTAGTTGTACTGTGACAGACAGAAGAGAGACACCAAAGAGAACCAATGCTGGCTGGTGGAAAGGGTCCCAGTGAAATGCCAGTGTGACCATGCAAGGGAGAGTAGACTAGGGAAGTAGCCAGAAGCCAGAGAATATTCAGGGGGAACCCTGGCCCCAGCTCAGTCAACAGGGGCAACCCCCCATGGTTTCAGTGGACTGTTGTCACATGGGGATACAAGGCAGTGTCATTAGCTCTTCTGATTTGTTCAAGAGGAGCCAGACACAGTAATTTTTATGCAGAAATTTCCCATTTTTCAAATTTGGTTCAAAACCCTTTGTAAAACTAAAAATCATCATTCATTAGTTTCTGACATCATTCATTAATATCTCTAAGCCTATTTGTAAACAGGTTTACAAATCTACTGAACAAGAAACAGCACTGAGTCGTATGCCAAAGAGAGAACTGGAAATCAGTCATTCGATTTTCTTCCAGGCTCTTGTTGATATTGTATATGCCCATTTGCTTGGGTGAAAACTGCACGATATTCACCTACTAATGGTGAAAATAACTGAACTTCTCATATTTCTCTAAAGTAGATTAATATTTATTAGGTCACAGAAACACATGGTTTTAATTTAATGTCAATATACCATACCATACCTCTAGCAAATTTCTGGAGGTATTGTTTTATGTGTGGGTTATTTATAAAAGGAAAAACAAACCTTTAAAAGTCTAACCACACAATGGGAAGACACTGCCCATTTCAGCTACACTACCAGAAAAATGTAGCCTAATGTAGGGAAAGGCAAAAATTGCACACAAATCTCCATTTCTTAAATTGAAGTTAAGAACCGATGTGTAAGGACCGATAATTCTGGTTCAATTCCCCGACTCTGCAGAAGGCTCAGAGTTGCTGAGGTCAAAACCTGTTTCACTGGTTTCTTGCAATGCCATCTGATGTTGATCTCTTAGAATCTTCCTAAGGTGAACCCAGAACAAAGTTTTAAGCCATTTGAAAGGGCAATGATCATCAAACTTGTTTTCTTGCAAATGCATGTATTTCTCAAACAGTATAGAAAACCCTTGGTTGGATTCACAAATGCAAATTCCAAGATAAAATACAAACACTGGCCTTCTGCTCTCACTTTGCAGCCCAAAGATGCAGTGCCTTGTGCCATACAGAGATATCCGTTTACAGCTGAGTGTTTTGGCATTGTTCACACAACAGAAAGGCAGCCTTGCCTTGTAATGTTGTTTTAACAATTAAAGAATTTTGCTTCACATGCAGGGTTCAACTATGACTGAGCTAGAAAGTATGTGAAAGACATACATGGAAACAAGGATTGTTAAATTAGGGCCATAAATGCCCTATAAGGCAAGAACTAAAAATAGTAAGACAAAAATAAAGCTAGACCCATACACATAACTTTATTCCTATAGTTACAAGGCTTTCCTTCGATGAGTCAGGTTTGACAAATGGAAGGTGGACCATGTGCAGTGTGGTCAAGATACCCTAGTAACTGACCACACTCAGCGAAGCACTTCTTCAGGAGCAATGCGAGAAAAGACAAACTCTGGGTAAGCTGCAGGGGCAGGTTTGAGGACCAAGTCAAAGTCAGTGAGCAAGGAGAGAGACACACATATGGTTTCTCTAAGCTAACAGGCTCATGTTTGCTTTCTCCAGTTTACAAATGGAACAGTTTGAGTTTGACTGTTTGGGTACAAAGACTACTCGTGCTGGACTCAAAATAAACGTACGTGTAATACATGTAATTAGTTCCTTTTTCTGAAAGGAACTGGATATTCTTAAGACTTTCACTATATAAAGTGACTGCTAAAAGGCAATCAAAGTGATTGCTCATGAAATCCCAACCATGAGATGATCTAATAATTAAAAAGCACTGAGGCACTGAATAGAGGCTAAAGTCTTTTCCTTCCTTCTACTACCTTTTCTCTTTTCTCTCTCTCTCTCTCTCTCTCTCTCTCTCTCTCTCTCTCTCACACACACACACAATTAAGAACAATTTTAATGTCAGTGAACATATTTTCAAGGAATAACTTAAGGAAGGTACGAGCAGCAAACCACCGACTTTGCTCTGAGAGGAAGGCTCACCGCCCCTTGTGCAGCCGCCGCTGTGGCCGGGCTCTGCAGACCTGATCGTGCATTCCATGCCTGCTGAGTCATGCCTGCTGCCCTGCCCGGGTGCAGGTACTAGGTGGAGCAGCGCAGCTGCACCGGGCACCCTGGAAACATCTAGCCTCATGCTTTGGTGAGGAGGTGATTCATATACTCGCAGCTTTATTTTAAAGCCTTCCAAATCAACTGACTCTTGGCAAAACTGACTAAATATCAACATGAAAGGCAGAAGCTGAAGTGGTAAAGCTCAGAGAGGAGACAGAAAAACCTGAGCCTAGAACAGTGGATTCTAGAATGCTGTTGATGGAAGTTAAATCAGAAGCCTTTGGATGAGGTCCCCTTAAGTGAAATTAATCACTTTGGGGAAATAAATGAACTGCCTTGAATCATGGTGATGCCAGGCTTCTTGTTCACAAAGCCGAAGAATGAGCTTCACAAACACTCAAGGTAGGAGAGCAAGGAACAGGCTTTTATTTAGAAATAAAGTGAAAGGACAGAGCTCCTGGCTCATGCCAGGAGGGAACAAGAGAGTTTGTAGTGGTGCATTGTCTAGGGGGTTCTATAGGCAGTTAAGGATTTTTCAAGAACATGATAAAAAGCTTAGGGGTGTGGACTTATTAATTGGTCCTAGGATATTTACAATTAATTTGATACAAGTGACCTCCTGCTCTGTTGATTCCCCCCCCCCCCGGGAGATACCAGCATCTTGGTCTGGGGGCATATGAAACAAGGCCACCTGCTCAGCCTGACCAGAAGGTAGGCTGAGGCATTGTTTGCTAAAGAGTAAGTGTAATCTTATCTTTAAGGTGGATCCTTCTTGCCTTTTACTGTTCTGGCTGGGCCTGCCTGCTAGATTAGTTTGCCCAGTTTGCAAAATCACCTCATCAGATCTGAAGGAGGAAAGACAGCACATAGGCCTGGGCCTTTTAGCATGTTAAAGTGAATCTTACACATGATTATAAGTAATTAGCATAAAATAAACATGTGCTACTCTTCTTTATCTGGGGTATACCAACTGATCTCACTGAAGAATGACTCTAGAGCTGAAGATTTAACACAGAGTTTTAGTAGGGGGCTTCCTTGCATGTAGTTACATTGCTCTGATTGCAAATATCTTGCCTTGCTTTTTCCGGAGGCCCTCACCCTACTCTGACTACACCCACGGTCCCTGTCTCAATGGGGACCTGTGTTGATAAGCCAAAGCTTGGAATTACATGGAAGTTGAATTGTAGTAGGAAATGCCAGCCTGCTAAATATTAAGACCTGAAGAGGGCAGTCCGTGGCTCTAAGCCTGAAGGACAAATCCCATCATATCAAATCTTATGTCGTCCTCCCAGGTTCAGGACACAAGCTATCCTTCGCAAAATTATGACAGCAAAGTTCTGATAAGATTATTCTCTTTCGACTGAAAATGTATTACTTACGCATTTTCTCCTGGGGAGATTTTTTTTTTTTTCTAATAATCTTCAAAAGCTGATTGAAACCAGTTATCAAAGGAAAGGGGTTTTTTTGGTTGTTGTTATTGTTGCCACCATCACTGGTTTCTTCTGCTTTTAATAAAACTTATTTTCATTTCTGGCTCTAAAAAGCTGTGTGACAAATATCATGGAGGACACAAGTGTTCTAATGTTTTGAGACTTATGTGCAAACCACTGCCTCATGATCCCTCCTCCAAATCTATCCCCAGGGGTCTAGAGATGGAAGTAGAGCACATCCCGAGAGCTAGGGTGCATCTTCTCACCCTTTGCCCCAGCAGTATTCAAGTAGGAGCATGGAAACCAAGAGCGACTCAGCCAGCCCCTGGCTGAACCCCCTCATCTGCAGGTAAGGAGGCCCAGGGGGGCCAAACCTTATGCTCCCAGTCATACAACCATTCATCGCCTTCACTGACTGACCTCCATGAGTGAAGGAGCAGAGTCAAACATCTCTGTGCTTACTGTCAGAGGCCTGTGCTATAAAAGGATGGTGGGAGATGAAAGTGTAGAAGATGAGAACTTAGGATAGGTGTGAAAGATCAGCTTTGTGTTAACGCCACACCTGCTCCAGGTGCTCCACCCTTCCTTCATAGCCAGTCAGGTTAAATCCCTGCTTACCTGGAATAGTCACTTCAATGTCTCCTTTTTCAAACATAGAGAGCCCCTTCCCCAAAAACAAAGAGGTGGGACATTTCTGGTTTAAGTAATAGAATGGTATAGGAAATATAAGGATGTGTCTGTTTCTGAAAGTTAAAAGAAAACAAGTAGGCAGATGTCTGTCATTGGAAATGTAACAACTATCCTGCAAGGGTTAGACACCGTTCAATATTTTTGCCCACTAAAGAAAATGGAAGCTGGAAAGAGCTAACACGTCTTCTAGCAACAGCTACTCACATTCAAATAGTGAAAAATTTTGTGGTACCTGTTTCTTCTGTTCAGAAAACCAGCTGGTATCTTTGTTGGAACCTTGCGGCAATATATGAAGATCCACCAGGACAGCAAAATTCCCACACTGAAAGGCAGTAATGGTGGAGTTAGCTCATGCCCAGCGAACAATGAGAGAGAATCTCTCAAATTCCTCTGTGCTTGCTGATGATAATGGCAAGACAGTTCATTATTGGACAGAAATGTTAATATGGGACAGGGATATAAGCCATAATCTTCTGCTTTTTGCAAGTTTAATATTTATGGTAGAAATGCTAAGAAGAAATACAATTTTAATCAAAATAGAAAGGACAAAACTGGGCCACACCTTGAAGGGGGATGCTCAGGCCCCTAGTGGCACTTGGAAGACTATCACACATGGAGAGAAGTTAAATAGGTCAGTCTAAGATAGGCTCCTTAGAAGAACGACTCCACGGACAGCCAGGGGAATTCTCTCTTCTAGGTGGAAGCACGGATGAATGAAAAAGAACCAAGGAAAGGAAGGTAGATGCTGAATGATGGTTACCAAAACAAACTAAGTTTCACTAAAATATACTATGAAACTGGACAAAGCCTGCTGCCTTTCCCTGTTCAGCGGGGTAACAAAGAGCCATATGTGACTACTGAGCACCTTGAAACATGGCTCTTATGAGTAAGAAGCCAAGTTTTAAATTTTATTTCATTTTAATTTAATTTAAACAGCCACATGTGGCTAGCAACTCTGTGGCACAGATTCAGACTCCGTAAAAAGTTGTAGCCTTATAAATCCTGGTACTTTCTGAGTAAAGTAATTTCTGAGACTCTCAAGGTAATTGTGGATGAACTAGCTTAGAAAGGAACTGGAGGTAGGGGATGGTCTCAGAGGCCCAAAGAATCAGTTTATGGTCCATAGGGAATAGTCACTTTTGCACCTCTTTGGCTAAGCAGGGTTTTTTTTTCTTTTAAAATTTTAAGTTATAATTCAAGGAAATAACACTCGACACCTACCTCACACCATAACCAAAATTTAATTTGAGATGGATCATAGACCTAAACATAAAAACTGAATCTATCTTCCCAATCTAGGGGTAGGAAAAGACTTCTCAGGACCCAGGAAGTACTAAATACAGGAGAAAAAACATGTTAAATTGGATTTGGCCAAAATTTAAAATTTTTGCTTATCAAAAGACACAATTAACAAAGTAAGTATGTATGTCACAGACTGGGAGAAAATATCCATAAATACTTGTATCTGACATAAAGGACCAGCATCCAAAATATGTTAAGAACTCCTACAAGTAGATATTTAAAAAACAAACAACCCAACTTGAAAAGACACTTCCCAAATAAAATAAAAAACAACACATGAAAAAAGTATTCACCATCGGCCACTGAGCAAATACAAGTTAAAACCTCTAAGAGACACTACTACCTGCCTACCAGAATGACTAGAATTAAAAGCAATGACACACCAAATGTTGCTCAGGACGTGGAGTGACCCAAACTCTCATTGCTAGTGGTGCAACCACTTTGGTAAAAAACTGCTCACTTTCCTAGTAAATACAGTTATTTACTAACTGAGCTAGCAATTCCACCTTAGGCATTTACCGAGAGAGGGGTAAAACCTAGGTGCCCAGAAATATGTGTGTGCAAATGTTTGTGGAAGTTTTAGTCATAGTAGCCAAAACAGAAGACAACCCAAGTCTATCAACAGGAAACTAAATCAACTATGATATATTCCCCTTCAGTAGAAGGCTCCTCACCAACTACTGTTAACACTCAGCAAGGACTAATCTCAACATTATGTTGAGCAAAAGAAGCTAGGCTAAAAGAATACATACTGTAGGATCCCACTTACATAAATTTCTAGGACAACAAAACTAAATCTATGGTCAAAGCAATCAGAATAGTGATTGCCTAGTAAGGAGATGACTGTGAATAGGCAACAGAAGAACCTTGTGTGGTAACAGCAGTGCTCTGTATCTTGATAGGGTATTAGCCCAAGATCAGTTCATCTCACTATATAAGTTATATACCAATAAGAAACATTTTTTTAAATGCTGGGTAAAAATACATTCATATTTGTGGACAGTTATTTAAAATATAAGTATTACATCCCTGAAGATGTGTGGGGATTTTGGGGGAGACCAAAGTGAAGTTCACTGGGTGATAAATCGTGAAGTATGATGCAAGGGTTCCTATGATGTCAAACGGTGCAGTGGGACCCACTGAACTGCAGTTTAATACACTGCAGCCAGCATTTTAACTAAATGAGAAAAAACTGAATATTGGAATGGAATAATAATGGTATTATTATTATTATTATATTATTATCAGATACCATCTGTCACATGGTAAGGTCAAATACTGTTTTGTGAAACTAATTGTCTAAATATACTGAGTTATGATGTAAACTGATTTCTTACTGTGGGCTGTGGTAAAAAATGTTTAAAAACCATATTTAAGTATACTGTTATTTTATGTTGCTTCACAATTGTTGATTATAGATTTAACCTTTAAGGAGTATGCTGCCACCAGGTGGAGGTTGTATGCCACAACTACACAATGTTAGCCAGAGGTTATTCACCTTTCATGTGCCATGGCCCTCTTTGGCCAGCTGTGAAGCTGATGATACGTGTTCAGAACAATGCTTTTAAAAGCATGAAATGCAATGCATAGGGCTGAAAAAAAATGTACTTAAGTATGGTTATCTAAATTTTTAAAAATTTATATATAGTACTGCATGTATTTGTTTATTATGGCATTTGCTGTTGTCACACACAAGTGGATCTAATAATTACTACAAATACAAAGTAGTGATAAGCAGAAATGATGTTATCACTTATATGCCACAAATATAATATAATCTGAAGTGTGCTATGATTTCCAGTGGTGACATATATTGCTAAGACTATTGTATTTTGAATACTTCATTCATAATAAAAAACAAATTTATTAGTATTTGGTCAAAATAAAGATGCAACTTTCTTCCCCATCAAGTTCACCAATCCTGTGGATTCCATCACGGGCCTGTTGAGGCTCCATGGATGGCAGAATCAGACCCCTCTAAAGCGGTGAATGTGTGTCACACATATTTACTGGGTTTCCTGCAGGCGTTCAACTCTAACTCCTCAGTCAAATCAAGTTCTCTGCTACCCCTTCTTCATTAGCAAAAGTACTTTTTAAAATAGTAAAAACAAACAAATAAAAATGCTTGACCAATCTGATACTATGTAATAATTACTTGCTAAAGAATTAAATAGCAAGGTCCAATTTGATATTTTCTCATTTTATAACTTTGATCATAAATAGTCTAGTGTAAGTTTGATTATAAACAGACTGATTAAATGTCTTTTCTTTTTAATAAGTCACTGAATCTTACTCTGGTGCTCAAATTTTCCCAGGATTTCTGCCAGACTCGACAGTTTGGCGGGTGGGGGGAAGGCTGCAGTGCCCTCCCCCAGTGGGGTTCTCCCTCTGCAGCCAGTGCTTCTGAGTTCTCCAGTAAGAGCGCTCTCAGACTCCCACACTGATCAGAGGTATTTTGCCTTTCTAAAATTCCCTGCTCTCAAAAGCTTTGCTGCTTTTCTCCCATGAGTACACAGGAAAAAAAGAAAAAGGTGCCTCTTACTGCTGCCAGCAGCCCAGCCTCCACTTCTTAATTAGAGGAAGGTTATTTCAGCTCTCAGCAGATAAACTCTCCAGCTCTTCTGAGGAGAGCAACACAGCCTCACTTCTTTCTCAGGCCAGAGCTGCTCATTTTACACAGACCATTACGTCTTGGTAAAAGGCTACTAGGAAAACTTCACATCCCAGGTCCTGGGTTGTGAATCAACAAGGCCAGGGTCTGGTCCAGCTTCCAGCCCCCTCCACCCAGAAATTTCAGCCAAAAACCAGGGAGTCAACCCTAACTCCTCCTTTCCCTAACCCCTGCAGTCCATCTTGTCTTTTACTTCTTAAAGAGCTGAACACAGCTGTCCTCTCTTGTTCCTCTGCTCACATCATCTCCCACTTGAAATGTTAGGGGTACTTCTCTTGTGCCCAGATGACTTCCCATTGCCCTGCTAGAGAGATCACCAACATAAAGGCGAGCAGTGCACTCCTGCTGGGGCTCTGAGAACGCATGAGCCCTGCTCCCCACTGTCTCACTGCTCCAGGGCAAGGCTGTTTCTGCCCTTTGCTTCCAGTGCACCTCAGTGCTCCTCTGCTTAGTGAACTCCTATGTATCCTTGAACCCTAACCTGAGCATGGACATCTCTGTGGAGCTTTTCTGAACAGTGTGTCACTCCCTCCTTTGGATCAGGCACATGCTTCACGTGCTTATTTATTTCTGCACTAAATGGCAAGTCCATGGAGGGGCCTCCCCTGCTAGACTGTTAGCTCCCTGGTGCAGACAGGGTGGGTACCTCAGCTGGTTCCCTAACCCCAGGGATTAGCATAGTACCAGCTCACAGAAAGTGCCTAACATTTCATGAACCGAAGAAAGGAATGCACAAACGACAGGACCAGTGAGCTGAGTATGAGGCAAACCCACAGCCCTCTCTCTGCAAAGGGAGAAAAGACCATCCCAGGGCAGCCGAGGACACTGAGGCACCACAGACAACCTCCTCCTTATTCTGCAGGGGGGAAAACTATATCATCGCCAATGGCAACCTGTCTTTTTCCATATCGTACAAAAAGGGAATACAAAGATTCTAGGAATACCTCAGCCTAAACACACTGTCAGCTGAGCATGCTGATTTTTCCCACCTCTTTCCTAAGAATTCTAAAGCTGCAACTTAACCTCAACTACAAGTCTTCAGGGATGGCACATCTTGTCTTCTAAGTTTACATTAAGTATAAAATAAAGGTGAAAATGCTAACATTTCTCACACATGCTGACATCTCAGCAGCAGGTTCAGAACCCTGAGATACTCTCTCCCTCATTCATTCATTGAGCACCCGCTGAGCCTTATGGGGCACCGGCCGGATCCTGAGAGGGAGAAGAAGCAACAGAACACTGAAGAAGTGTGACCACAGGCCCTGCACAGGGACCAGAGGAGGCCAAGAGACAACCCTGCCTGAGCTGTGGCGTCTCAGCTAAGTCCTGAGGAACAGGGCAAGGAGGGG